AACACAAAACCTCATGTAATAACTGAACAGAGGCAAGTATCACAAATCTTATTGGCAGACTTATTCAATCAACTTTGTAATAGTGAGCATTTACTGCATGTGTATTTTTATTAAATGGTTTAATTTCAGCATATATATTTTGGGAACTTTCCAATAGCAAATATATTATACAGATACCTTGAAGGTATAGAATAGTTCCCACTGACAGATTTTGTTAGCACATGCATACACTTGTTATATATATATATATATATATATATATACAGTTAACAAATGTTATACTCTGGTATAATTAAATCTCTTACTGATACATTCTACATGTTGTCTGGGTTTGAGCGCAAAGAAAGAAAAGTGCAAAATAAAACATCTTCTGCGTAGGGGCTCTGAGCATCACATCCAGTCCACCAAAAAAAAAAAAAAAAAAAAAAAAATCCCTGCAAAAATCTAAAATACAACAGCCAATCACATACATTGCCACTCCAAAAAAGATGAACCTAAGAGCCACCAGATTTTCTTAAAAGAATAAACTGACACAGCAGCAGGTCACCTCTTGACACTGGTGGGCTTACTCTCATCGTCACCACTGTGATCATGTCTTTTGTCACCACCATGACCTCACCCAAGCTTCACTAATTTCACCCAACTCTTTACACAGAGAATGCGACCAACAGTCCAGACTCTGACAGATTCCTGAAGCCACCACCGTGATTTGTAAAACCTTCACTATCACATTCTAGGCCTCTCTTGTCATCATCACCAAGATCTCACTTTTGTTTGATCTCCTATCAGAAACATTCCACTCAATCAAGCTTCACTATCACAATGCAGGCCTCTTCCCCGACACAAACCCAACCCAAAAAATCAGTCAACTCTCAGCCTTACCCACAACACCCTTACACCTAATCGCTTTCCTTACCAATGGCAATTGCATATCAACAATTCTGTCACCTCTTCACACAACTATGTATATATTCTGAAAATTGTTCAATACATGCTGTTGAAATTTTAATCTGTGTTTGTTCCCTCCCATATGCTCGTTATGACAACTGGTGTCAGGAATAGGATGCAAGGGAAATGGATATAAAACAAAGACGAGATATGATCTGGAGTGTACATCCAAATTTCAGTGAGTGGGTGTTAATAGTTGGAACCATTTGCTGCAAAACTGTTACTGAGGCTTCAAATGACATAGATGTCAAACATCTATGGGAAAATCTAAACAAAAATGAATAAAGACAGGATATGCATTAGTCCAATAACAAGATACCGAAAATTAGAAACAGATGAAAGATCAACTATGCACCTTTAATTAATTCATATATATATCTATATAATAATGAGTCTCTATGTTTGTTTTTTTTTTTTTCAAAAGAGCAAAACACAACAGACCATTATGCAATTTTTATTAGCAAAGTACTGTTAAAATGCTCTAACTTGAAGATTAAAAGAATTTCTAGTCCAATTGTCCATTGGTTTGCAAGAGTTATTTCCATAGTTTTTCTTATTGAGAAAATAAGTGGAATAAGCAAGGAAGAATCCTTTACATATCTGCACTTTTCTCCATCACCCAAAACATTTACAAACAATTGTGACATAAATTCAATGAATGGGAAGTCACTTCATGTCAAGCAGAGGCTGCCAAAGGTAGTGTTGAAGCAAATTAATAAAAATGAAAAAAGAAATCCTGTAAATAAATTCTACCTATTAATAGTTGTTTATCAATTCAGAAATTTATTGTCATAATGAAGCAAAAAGCATTCTCTTTAATTTTTAAGAACATCTTTGTCAATGCACTTAATTCAGTAACAAATGTTAAACTATTCAATTAAAATTTCAGATCAAATTCATCTAACCAGGCACCAAAGTGGATATACTGACACAAAATTATGTGTATGTGTGATATATATATATGTATATGTTTGTTGTATATATATATATATATATATATATATATATATATATATATATATATGTGTGTATATATATTTTATACAGTTGTATGCATATTAGTTTGCGATCATCAGCCAAACTCATATCCGTACAAATGAATATGTTAGCTCTATCACTGATATTGAGCACTTTTCAACAAGTACTGCACATATAAATATATATATATATATATATATATATATATATGGTAAAATATAAAGTTCAGATTACCTGTCCCCTGCACTAAGTTTGATAGAGGTGTATCCACTCATAAGAAGGCTTGATAGTAAAAGTTATTTACAGAAATCATATTTAAAAATTTCTGTAAATAAAATCAGTTATCACCCACCCCCAGATGCTACAAACACTAACATATAGTAATAAGCTTAACCTGGAGTGGATGCAGAAGCAAATTTCACCCCATCACCAACACTTCAAGACACAGAAAAGACACTTCTTTTACAGAAACCAAACTCAACCCATTTGCATGAAAATCTATTGGCAATTCAGTTCATTTTTTAAAATTGTTTTTATTCCATTTTGACGGGTATTATTTCATTTGAACTGTTACTGTTCGATTTTACTTAGTAATATTTCATTTTGATTGGTACTATTTGCATTTTGAAAGTGAAATGTTATAGAAGATGTCACATTCTCTTCTGGGAATGTTGAAAAACAAAACATTATTTTGTATGATATTCTCACAAATTTAGTCAATGAAACAGACATCTGGGCAAGGCTAGATGGCAGAATGAAGGGAAATATTGGGACACACTAAAGACAAAGAATGTGGCCCAAATGAATCAATGTATAATAGTAACAATGCTGCATTTAAACTGGTTCATCAGAAATTTTTAAACTTTTAACATTTCATTCGAACAAAAACGTTGTAAATCCTACAAACTTTTTTTTTCATATTATTTACATTATTCAGACTATTGTCCTCATTTTTGTCGCCATATTTATTACAACGTTTCGGCTGTTGTACGCACCGGCCTTCTTCAAGTGGTTGGAATGTCGAACCACCTGAAGAAGGCTGGAGCATACAACGGCTGAAACGTTGTAATATGGCAACAAAGATGAGGACAATAGTCCGAATAATGTAAATAATGTACATAATACCTCATCTCAGAAATATAGACAGATTTTTTTTCATAATATTGTGTTCAACTTGTCTAGTATCATTTGAGGATTTGTCAAACTTTTTTGCTAGACTAAAATCATGGGGTGGGGATAAAAATACTACCAGAGAATCAGCATTATTCTCTAGTAATATATATATATATATATATATATATATCCTCAGGATTTTAGTTATTGTGCACATAAATATGTTTGTCCTTGATTGAACTCTGAAGAGTGATGAGTGATAATTGTTGTTTCTTTTTTGTTATATTTTTTATTCACCTCTAAAGTGTGTAAACTATTTTTCTCATCCTCACTATTTCTGAGCTTTGTTTGAAGATATTTGTGTATGTCATAAATATATACCCTTTTAATATGTCAATTTTTAAAGCCATAATAATATTTTGTACCCACCCTTCGTCCACAAATTATTCTTTCATTAGGTTGGATGTTTTTTTTTTTCTGACTCCTTCTCTATGGTTTCACAAATCTTTCTTATTTCTTCTTACTTGGAAATCAATGCAATTTATTTCTAATTATTATAAAGTTTCCAAAGCAGGTATGTTACTATAGAATTTACTGCAGTTCAAGGAATTCTCAAATCAAATTCTGTCCTGGGTATGACGATAAACTACATCCATGTCCAGGGTAAGACGTTAAACTACGTCCAACAGCAAGGACTCTGATCAAGAGGCTTTGAGGAGCAGTCATCCATCTAGTTACTGACCAGGCTGGACATTGCTTAACTTTGGTGATTATATATGAACCAGAGTTTCAACCTCTTAATTTCTGATGTTCCCAGGTCCACCCTGACCTGGGGTGGTAGCACCTGTTTGGGTCCCAGCTATGGACAAATAGTTAACCCCCGAAACTGAGGTAAAAAGCATTTTGAAAGTGTAAAAATAGGTTTTAATACCAGAAATGCTTTGTAAAACATTATTACCAGAAATAAATTTATGAAGAACAAAAAATATTACCAGCAATGTTTTTGAAAAAAAAATATTACCAGCTATACAATTTTGAGGAAAAAAATATTACCAGAAATAGATTTTTAACAAAACAAAAATATTACCAGGAAAAAAAAAAGTTGTCAGCATTAACTGGCTCATTGAGGTGTTGATATGCCGTAAACAAACCAAACCAAATCAAATTAATAAATTATACAAGATGAAGGAGAAAGGACAATTTCTGTGAATAACCAATTATTTGTCAATCCGGTTTTTAATGTAAATAAGAAAGGAAAGATTGGAATTGTTCTTAGGAGAATAAAAATACTATTTTTAAATGACAGAAATTTTTTTGAATGAAACTGGAATTTCCAATAACAGCAATTTAGTATTTATTGGTGACAATAATTGTATTGTAATTGACTTTGATGTTGACAACACTGAACAGGTAAAGATAGGACAAGTAAAAAAAAAGAAAAAAAGAAAAGAAAAAAGAGACAAGTATCCCAAATCAAAGAAAGATAGAGAAATGCTTATTCTAAGAATTGTTTGAATGAGTTTCCTTATCATTGTTGTTTTTATCAAATTTCAACCAATAAATTCTTTAGCTGTATGTTGTATCTGGTAAAGACAAAAACGAAAACTGAACAACATTCAAAGTTACCAGAGGCAAGTTACACATGAAGAAGGCCAAAGAATATATTGGTAGAAATACTATAGTAAAAACAACAAAGGGGATTGATTTGTTTTTTTACAGTTTATCAACCTTTTGTAGGTTATTTAAAACCAGAAAATATTTTTAGGTTGTAAGAACTTTTTGGAGGTAATAATGATTTAGTGATACAAGTCTTACTAATTAACCCATAGCTAGGGAGGAGAAGAGATGGATTCATATCTTTCACAAGGGCATTTGTGTATAAGTGAATATTTATGAACTGAAATTGGCTCTCCAATTAACAATTCTGAGTCATTATCCATTACACCACCTGCATATCAAAGCTTACAGCACCTGATATTCCCAAGCAGTCACCCATCTAGGTACTGACCAGGCTCGACATTGCTTAACTTTGGTGATTGTATGTGAACCAGAGTTTCAACGTGATATGACCACAAGCCACCAAAAGTGGGGATGCTCATTCATACAGTTAATGAAATATTAATTACGAGCAGGAATCTGGGGAAATTCCGCAGCATTTTTTTTATTTTTTTTAACATTGAAGTCTTAGACAACAGTGACCTTGAAGTGCATGTGCAAATTCATCTTTTTAATGCTAATGTAGCCTTTTAAATACTTTACCTAGCTATTTGCATCAGATCATTTACAGTGAGCCCCACCTATTTGCGTTTGAGCATTCATGGCTTCACACATTTGTGAATTTTTCTTTAGAACATATGTGCTTGTTATTTGTGGAAACCCTGAATATTCATGTTTTTCTGAAGAACATATGTACAAATTATTTGCCGAGAACTCCCTCGATTCACTTATTTTTTCAATAGAACATATTTAAAATATTCTTGTATTATTTTCCTTTTATTTAAATGACTTAAAACATATAGCAGTCCATTTTTATGGTAAATATTGGCAGAATTGTATATCTTCATTGTAAAAAAAACAAATGCAAAAACATGCATAGTGCTTGGGCTTTCTTCTTTGTTAGGGGCTGCGGCTGGGGTCTTAAAAGTGGCTTATGCCAAGTCTGAGGGGCATCATCACAGTTCTGTTTTTAGGAAATGTTTTAAACTTTCTATTTTATGTCTTGTTATACATATTTTATACAGTATTTTCAATGGTTGTATCGATCTATGCATAATTAAAAAAGGTTATTGTTCACATGAAAGAAAACTTACACTAAATGTATGATCATCAACACTATTTTTCAGAAATGTTTTAAAAAGGGTCTGAAATGTTTCTAAAATGTTTAGGATGAAAGTTTAAGGCAAATGGAGTTTTAACAATCAAAATAGGTATTTATAAGTACTTTTAGGGGGGGGTTACAAGTATTCGTGGATTCTAACGATTTGCAGCCGGTTTTGGTCCCTAAATCCCATGAATAGGATGGGACTCAATGTATGTAAAATTGGTAATGAAAGTACAGAAACAGTATTTTAATGTGTCAGTATTTTTCTAACAGGTTTGTTATTTATTTTCTTTAAACATATAGAGCTGAATCTTTGGAAATTCTATGGTTTTTGCTAATTTTTATTACTGAAACTCATCATTTCAGGCTGGCATAAAACATATTATTATACCATTTCAATGAAACAGACATTAAATGCACAAGAGTATCGTCATTTTCTCTATCTTATTCTTTCTTTCTCTTCTGAAATATGCAAAAGTATCGTCATTTTCTCTATCTTATTCTTTCTTTCTCTTCTGAAATATGCCGGGAAGGTAATCCCATTGTCTGGGTCATAATGAAATTCCATTAATGAATTTGCAATACCTTCGGCCGAGAAAAAACTAGTTTTTTGTTCTCCGGTTTTCATCATTAATTTTTCAAAAATTTGAAGTAGTTGTTGTTGGTTTTGCAACCGCTGTATTTGCTGTTGTTGTTGCTGAACACTAGTGCACAATGGTTTCGTAAGCTCTGTTAATTGTTCCATACTTTTACTCAATATGTCTTTCAGAAAAACGAACGACAGACAACAAAAAAAATACTCAACCTTCACTTATTGCCTTCCAATAAACTCAAATTACTTGTGTAATTTTCGAATAATAGGCTGAGAACATTAATAAGTTCAATAAGAGAAAAAAAAAATTGGTTCTTTGATTGCCATTTCCAAGCCATTATCTATTACACCACCTGCACCATTACATCACCAAGCTTACAGCATCTGGTATTCCCAAGAGGTCACCCATCTAGGTACTGACTGGGTTCAACATTACTTAACATTGGTGATCTTATAAAAACCAGTGTTCCAATGTGATAGGCTATAAGCCATGTGAGAGCACTTTGACGTGATGTAATGGTTAGCAAGCTTGTCTCGCTAAATCAATTATGACTGAATAATGAGTTTGATTCTCACTGAGTGCTTCACAGTTTCGGCTTTGTGCCACATTTAAGCTATGCTTAGAAAATCAAGGGCTTTCCTTCCAGATTCTTCCTAGAGGAGGAGAAGGTTTTTTTGTTTACCCCGTCAGAGTAGATGCTGTGGTTGTAGTATCTGTTCCACGCTGAGAGGCCTTTTCTCCTCCCTTTGCATTTCCCCCACTGTTGCATAACATTTGTTACGTAGCAGTGGTATGACTAGCTTAGAAGAGATCTAACCAGCTTAGACAAGCTAAGACCAGCAGCCTGAGTGGAAACACTCAGTCCCTATGTTGAAAACCAACCTTGTGTCACAACATGACTAAGTGGGGGAGGGGGGAGGTTAAGGTAAATCTCAGGCTATAAGCCATGTGTACATGGTAGGTAGTATTTTTTCATTAATACAAGTTGGAATAAAAATAATAGAAAGAATTTTGATTTTGATTTTTTAGTTAACATTAACATTTCTTGTTTACCTATAACAGATCATATGTCTGGATCCATTGACTGTAAATTTTGTTCAAAAGTTTGTGACTAATTGCCTTCAGCCATACTTCTAATAACTAATATCAATCATAGCTTTGATAGTTTTACTCTCATCTTTATTAATGGCCTGAATTATAGTTGAAATCACTTCATCATAAATGACTGGACAATATTGAACATGCACACTCTTATGCAGCGTTTCAACTAATACTAAGGTTCCACAAAGGGTCCCCAGGGGTTCCTAAGAACAGGTGAGATGAGCTAATGCACTTTGACTTTTAATTTAATTTTGATATATTATTTGTTATGATTATACAAAGACGGCAGTTATGATTTCATGTAATCATTTTTTTAGTCTATTTAAAATGCCCTAATACACAGGGATTACAGGGAGTGAAAGTGAGAGAAAAGACTGATTATAGGGTGGATCAGCATTTCTCAAGTGGGGTTCATGTAAGGTTCTGCAAAAGGTCCCCAAGGTTTCCCAGAGAACAGGTGAGATAAGCTAATGTACTTTTGACTTTTTATTTAATTTCATATACGTAATATTAAACACACACAATATATTCTTGGTTATTGTAATCTTGTAATATAGGCATCGTCCTATCTAACCTATTATGTTATTAAAAAATATAATCATTGGGAATATATTTAGTGATGTCTGCATGGAGCCAGTGTGAAACCACCTTCACTAGTCAGTGTCCACTAGTCAAAGGGTTCAAGGGGTTCCTTAAGACATGTAATTTTTTTTAAGGGTTGCACAAGGGTAAAAAGGTTGAGAAACTTTGCTTTTATGTGTAAAAACAGTAAAGATAAATGAAAAATGAAAAAAATAAAATTCATTGACTCTAATCTAAAATCAAAACTGTATTTATATTTGGGCTACTTTTGTATATTAAATGCAACATTTCAGTTGGTCCATACTGTAGTTTTCTTTAGGGAACAATCCATAGGAACAGATGGTCTGTCTCTTTTCTATACAAATAGGTAGTAAATAGAAAAGCTGTTTCTATACTAATGAGCCCAATTTATTTACAATAACAAGACACAAATAATACCAAAATCTCACCAACCTATCAAACACAAGTAATTCCATATTTATAAACAGGAATGCTTTCCAATTACCACCCAACTAACCATATATATATATATATATATATATATATATATATATATAATTATGTAAAATGTGTATGTATATAAAAATAAATATATATGCAATTTTTATATATATCATTTATATATTATATATGTGCGGTACTTATTAGAAAGCACTCAATATCAGTGATAGAGCTAACATATTTAGTTGGACTTATGTGAGTTTGTGACCCTGGGTTTCACGCTAACTCATATCAATCACACAATTTCACAAACTCATATCAATCCAATTATATATATATATATATATTTAGTGGATTTATTATAGTGGACATTTCCTATTTTAAATAGATACAGTGATACAAATAAAGATCAGGCATCTATTCCAAATACAAAGTGTGCATTATAATAACGTCTGAAGTAATATAGAAGTTATATACACATATATATATATATTATATATATATACAAATAACAACATACAATTATAGCCCTAAACTAATACTTAAGTTACCACCAAGCCAAATAAAAACAAACTATTAACCACTAAATTAGAAAGATGAAATAATAGGTAAGTGAAGAGATAAACAAATATTTACCTCACCATTTAGGCATTAATTTTAAAAAATTAATTATTTAAAAAAGAAATAAATAAAAAATAAAATATACCCATATTTCCCAAACTTAAGAAAACTCTGAAACATTTGAGAAAAGAAATTACCCTAAATAAACAAAAAGTCCTGTCTGTGACACCAGAAATGACCTTATTATATTATCTTTGACACTGAGCCAAAAGAGAGAAAAAAGAATAAAAAGGAATTGGGAGAGAACATAAGTGTTATGGACTATAATCGGTGTGTCCTAATTCCTATAAATAATGGGTGTGTCCTAATTCCTATAAATAATGGGTGTGTCCTAATTCCTATAAATACAGTGGCATATACTGTACACAGTCTTCCACTTGGGAATTGACTTCCAAGTGTGCTGGTCATACTCTCTGCTTCTGGGCAGAGAGGATCTCCAGACAAGGCTATGTTGAAGGGCAGAGTCTCGTCTTGGGAGACAGCTACCCAATCCAATTTTTTATGGGGCCTACAGGGAATTTTTGGCCAAACTTACAGGCTTGGATACCCCACAATAAAACTCGGCCACATGGGGTGGCTAGTGGATATCTTCGACTTGGGATTTGTCTTGATTCACTTCTAGTTGTTGATTACTTACTACATGCTGCTGGCAAATCTTGTATGTTGTTTCTGTTATAAATATTATCATTCATTTCCAACCTTTGTTTTGGTTATTCTTATTCAGTAACCTTTTCCTAGGTTACAACAATAAGGAGTTAAGAAAAAGTGAAATAACCACCACATACACACAGAAAAAAAAAAAATCAACCTAATGCATATAAATACCACATAAATTATTTTTTAACTGAAAATGAGAAAATCAGCTGTCAGTTGCTGAAACCTGCTGAGGAGTGGTCTGTACAATTAAAAAAAAAGT